TGTGGGGGCAATAATAATTTTTTTCTATAATTTCAGTGGGAATAATATTAAAATTTTATAAGTATATAATCCAAAAATAAAGTATATAATACCAAAAATAAAAAATTTCAATGGGGAACACCACACTATTGTACATATAACATTATGATATATATATATATTCGGATTGGATCACCATAATTCATATATGATGTGTTAGGTTAACAGATTATCGGATTCGAATCGTAATCGGGTTGTCGAATTTTTTGTTCAATTGATATCCGACTAATCGGATTGGATTCGGATTAGAACCCGATCCATTGACAGGTCTAGTTACAAGGAAGACTTTGTCTTACAATGAATCCGGATAGAAAAGTGAATGCGTATATATGGATTGAGTATTAATCTCATCTAATAACTTAAATTTTTGGGTTGAATTGGAAAACATTACACTAGCCCAGTCACCATGGTATTGTAATGGGTTAGTCAATTTTATTTTAATTATTTTTTCATAAAAATTTTTGAAACATATTTTTTACATCTGTTTGTTTATATATCTATATGCAATATATATATATATATATTGTAGGTAGGCCATATGTGGAGAAAAAGAAACAAAAAGAGTATTTTTAGCTTGGGGCCCAAAAAAAAAAAAAAATGATATTTAAAAAGATTATTTGCAAAGCCCGAAGATTTTACTAGGGGCATCTTCATAAATTCTAAAAAATTGAGGTTTAAAATGAAATATAAAAAATGTAGTGGGGGCCGCCCTCACTGGTACCATGCTAGGTCCAAATTGTGGTGGTTAATTTTCAAAAAAAAATAATAATTGTGGTGGACTTAGAGCTCTAAGTGTCACTTTTGAAAGACCGTCACCACTTCAATTCCAAATATAAAAAAAGTTTTGGTATTCTAAAGTCCTTGTCTCAAGTAGAAAATATGTGACCATTTGTTCACGAACAAGTCCAACTGTATGAGATTATGGTCAGGATTTTGAATTTGAATTCATTTTTGTGAAGTGATTCTTTCATTATAATTGGTAATTACATTTTTTTGTGGGACTCAAGCTCGAGCTTAATAATGAGTTGAGTTTGACTTAAACACACAAAATTAGACTGGACGATCTAGATCTAGATAACTTGTAAAAATAACGTAAATACTAATTAACTTCTCTAATTAGTTCATAGCTAATTTAGTTATAATCAAAGACATTGCAAAAACGTTAATTGAAAAATAACAAATAATTTTGCTTAATTCACATACCTGTTGTTAAATTGTTAGCTGTCAAAAGGTAAGATTTTAAATTTTTTATTTTTTATTTTTAAAAAATTGTGGGATCCACATATAACAGTAGAGCGAATTGCAAAAAACTCTCCTTGACTTTCACTCGTTAGCAAAAAACTCCCTTTATGAATTATTTTATAAAAAAAAACCCCCTTCAACTATTATGAATGGGGTATTTTAACTGATATATGTTTAAGGTGTTATGTTTTGGACAAAAATACCCCTTAAACAATTACCCTCTTCGTCAATAGTTTTTTTTTCCTCTAATTACCTCTCAATCTCCACCACAGCCACCACAATCCACCTCAGCCACTGCCACCACAATCCACATCCATCCAACCCTTCTATATCTCTATTATATGTATGTATGTATATATATGCATGCACATATACAATTGTCATACATTGAGGAATTTGAACCAAATCATCGTTTTTCTTTGAGATTACAACTTGTTTTTAGCTTTTTGCTTTGATTTATTGAAGCCCAATTGAGGAATTCGAAAACCGAATTGAGTGATTTGAAGGGATTGGAAAATGAGTATGTACAGGAGAGATCCGTGGGGTGGGCCTCTGGAGATTCACACGGCTGACTCCGCCACGGACGTTGGATGAGTTGGGACTGGGAGAGTAGAAGAAGAAGAGGTATGTGGATCTGGGTTGTATCATTGTTAGCTGCAAGATCTTTCTTTGGACGGTCGGGGTCAATCTCGCCGCCGAATTGTTAGTAGGGTTCATCACCCACTATCCTTAAAATGTATAAAGGCACACTACAAGAAATATCATTTTTACCGGCAGTTTTTATGTGTGTGCCGTTGTTAATTAATTTTTACCGGTAGTTTATAATAATAAATTGCCATTATTGGTTATAATACCGGCGATATGATAAAAACGGCCGGTATATATGTAGTATTTCCGGCAGTGTTTATAAAAGCGCCAGAATTAATTAAATAATTCCGGCGGGTATAAAAAATATGCCAGAAATTATGTAATTTTTATTTAATTGTTATTATTTTATGTATTATTATTTTATGTTTAGGGGAGGCTATTACTATTCACATGATTTCTATTCCTCCCTTCTATTCTCTCACTGACTCGATCACGGCTTCAAACCTTGGTGGTAGTTGCTCACCATCCCATTCATCAAACCTTGGTTACATGTTTTATGTAATATTACTATATATATATATATATATATATATATATATATATATATATATGTGTGTGTGTGTGTGTGTGTGTGTGTTTATGTAATGGCAGTTGCTCACCATCCCATTCTCTGCACCACATTAAACCAAACTCACCATCCGCCCTACATTTACTCTGCAACTCTCTTTCTCCCCCTCCTCTCTGTCTATACATTATATATACATACCATTACATAAACACACACACACATATATATATATATATATAGTAATATTACATATTTGTTTCTCTCTAAAGAAACAATAACCAGCCCTGGACAGCTGAAACTCAAACAAAATTTGAAACAATTCCAGAAATCTGCAATCCGGAATTTTGTTTTGTCTTTCAGGTTTGTATTCATCAACAATATACTTCTCAAACAAGATCTAATTATATTGATTGTAATGGGCTTTCCAAACAGACCCTAAGTCGAGTTAGACTTGCCCCCAACAAGCATATGAACATGAGAATTGTTGCATTTCTGTCTATACATTATATATACATACCATTACATACATACGTGTATATAGATATAGTAATATTACATATTTGTTTCTCTCAAAAGAAACAATAAAGAAGAGCAAGAAAAAGAAGACTAGACGCAACTCTATCATCCTGTCTCTATACTTCCTCTGTTCGTTTTCTGTGTGCGCTGAGAAAATTTTGAATAATTGACAAACAAAGACGAAAGAATACAATTTGAATTTGAAAAAATGTTGAGAATCAATATGTTACTTTTGATGCTCTTTTTTTCATGGGTTTGTTCTTCGGTCACATTGTGGTGGCAGTGGCAGAGGTGGGTTGTGGTGGTGGTGGGATGCAGGAGATTGAGAGGTTAGAGAGGGGAAAAAAAAAAAAAAAATTGTTTAAGGGGTATTTTCATCAAAAATATAAAACCTTAAACAGACATCCGTTAAAATACCCCAGGGGCCAAAGCAAGAATTGCAAAGTAGGGAGGGCTAAAAATAATTAAACCCATGATTACTTAGTGTGTCATCTATACTATAAATACATAATTATCATGCATCAGTTATTCAATTAAACCCAATAATTTACAATTTTCTAACACATTTACACTTCCAAATTTTAACGTATTTATACAGTCAAGAAACCATTGAAGTTTGCTTCATACAAGTATTAAAACAAACAACTACAAGAATGCAAGATATATATGTTCCTTATTAATAAATTCACATTAGAAAGTAAAACCTATGTGCTCCGCCCATGACTAGTTATTAATCCATTATATAGTAAATTACCCAATTTAACAAGAAATTATCAAGTCATCAACAAAGCCCTTTATATATATATATATATACAAAAATAAAATTCAATATTTCACTGGATTAGGAATAATAATCCATGATATCCATTTACTTATGCCTTAGTGCCTTGTACACGAAGAGTTTAGGTTTTTTTCGATAGACTAACAATGTGTTTTGGTTTACTGGGTTGGGCCCTATTATATTTTATCATGGTTTATTTTGTGATTGGGCATGTCTATGGTTCGTGGGCTTGCTCATATTTAAGGTTTGATCTTTGTAAATTTTATAACTCTTTTTATTTATAGAAATACTATAAATTGGGTTGGGCTGATAGGAAGAGGAAGAGTAGTACACGGGCTTATAGGAACAATAGTACTAATTTTTTTTCTTTTCAATTGGACCTGGGCTATAGCCCAGGTTAGCCCAGTACTAGTTCCTCCATTGAATACCCCCCTCATGATAGTTGAGGGGGGATTTTTTGCTAAAACAATTCATAAAGGGAATTTTTTGCTAATGGGTGAAAGTCAAGAGGGGTTTTTTACAATTCGCCCATAACATTATAATTGCGTTTCATGCAATTTTACTACTAGCTTCTTCCAAAGATAAAAAGTCTTTGGTACTCCGAAGACCAACCATAAATAAAAATTATAATCCATTCCATTCAACAGATCAATACGATTAACGTTTGGCTCAAACTTGTTTCATTAATAAAGGGGTTCACATGTGAACTTATTTTGTGAATGTGCTAATGACAAGTGTTCATGAACATTCTTGTAAATACTATGTGTTTTATCTTATAAAAAAAAAAAAAACATTCTTGTAAATCTTACTATTTCATTAAAATTTGTAATTAAATTTTGTTCTTTGGGCCTCAAGCTCAAGCTTGATAATGTACTCGAGACTAAACTCAAAATAAACTAAACAACAAGATAGAGAGAAGTCGAGCTTGACTTTGAACACATAAAATTAGACTCGACGATTTTGATCACTTGCTAAAATAATACTCCGTATCTAAAAGTATTTCAAATTTAATAAAATAACCTAAATACTAATAAACTTCTCTAGCTAGTTCCTAGCTAATCTAGTTATAATCAAAGACAACTGAAAAACGACTTATCTTGCGGATAACATGTTAGATAACAGCCAATTCAATTCCAAAAAAATTTAAAGTTGCCACAAATATATACATTTTATGGAAACTGGCTATTACATTCTTGATTTCATTTAGAGTACAAATCTATAGCATTTGAAAATATGCCCAAATTGCACCTAATATCTGTCAACTGTCAAATTTGACTAACTTTTTTTATTTATAAATCCCCCCAAAGTACTCCTAAACACGGAAATCAGTGCTTTTAATTTTTTTTTTTTTAAACCCCTTATCAGTGCTTTAAATTTGGTACAGTATGAGTTCGACGCCCCTGCGGGCCTGCCCTCCATTAGGATCCAGATAAAAACTCCTTAGTTCCTCTTCACTCCCTCGAAGTCCTACCCAACCCTCTACTGGTTGGGATTCAAATCCATATACTCTTTTCGTCCACTTGAACACGAGGTAAGCTGCATAGTTTGTGTCAGGCGATATCATCTGAATACTTATCCTCCCACGAATTTCAAGCCAACACACATCGACAAGCTCTGCCACCCCAGCGAATCTGATTTTGTAAATTTGGTTTCATTGAATTAATTAACACCATACATGGAGAAAACAAACGAAGAAAAGAGCAGCACAATGAGAGATAGACCTGGACTCGGGTAGAGAAATCCATCTCCAATACATAGGTGTATCACCATAAACAATTGTGAGGGATCTTGCAGCTAACATGAAACATTTCTTCCCACTCCATTTATCCAATGAAAAACTCTGCTTAATGCCACTAATGAGAAGTTAGAGAGAGATTAAAATGAAAACTGAAGCAAACACTGTGTATAAAGTAGATTACAGCCACCCAAATGGACATTCAGAGAGAAAAAGACTAGAAAGAACCAAAGCTCCAAAACAGAAACGCCAACTCCACCCTGTGAATCATATGATTCAACTCAAAAGGTACAAAACAAAGCTAACAAGAATTACATGTTATGTTGCAGTACTAATGAATAACACGAGTCTGCAATCACCAGCAAAGATGGCTTTTGACAGGCTGTTTTGCAACACAACCAGATTCATAACCAACCCGAAATTTGTTGTGTTAGGCATAGCTTACACGTGATTCAAGGGTTCTCTATTTGAACACTATAAATGATTATCCATAATTAACTAGTGATACAACATATTGGGAGATTGCAGCTACTAACTGATGAAATAGATATTTGCTATTAGTATTAAACAAACAAGTAGAGACAAGCAAAGGGAACAGCAGCAGATAAGTAGTTTATTTTCCCTCAAAAAAAAAAAACACCTTCCTGCAAATCTTCAAATCTTTGTCTGAACTATAATTGCATTTTATATTGGGAGATTTGCAAACAATCCCCCTTTACTATTACCCAGTTCGGAAAAACCCCCTTATGAATATTTTTAGCAAAAAATCCCCTTCAACTATCCCAAGGGGTGTTTTTAACTAATGTCCGTTTAAGTGGTTGTCTTATAGAATTTTTTGGACGAAATTACCCTTTAATAGATTCTTCTTCAAACAATTTATTTATTTTTTCTCTATTCTCTCTCTGCGTCAAGCAAGCCTTCTCATTCCTTCAAATACAAAGTTAACAGCAGATTGAGAAACCCAATTGTGAAATCAAAACAATTTTTGAGTAGTAGGTGGTGGAATCAAAAACAATATAGGATGAGATGATAAATGCATTTCTCTCAAACAAAATTACTTAAATATCCTTTATAATTAAATTTTTGTGAATTGAATAAAGGGCAATGATGCCATTTCACATTAAAAACTTTCATACTTCTAAGTCTTTAACTTGAGTACATCAACTACAACAATTTTGTCTCAAAAAGTAATTTTGGGGTATTTCATGTTCTCGAAGTACGTATGTTTTTTTTTTTTTTTTTTTTTTTTTAAAATCAGATTACTTTTTAATTGTCAATTTTAGTCCAACTTATCTTGCAATAGCATAATTCAATTAAGGAAAAGAAAGAAATTGAACTAAGGAAACATGGCAAATTATTAATTATTTTCCATAAAATAATTAACTGTTATAATGGCTATTAAAGATCAAGTGTACTGAAGGAGTTCTTGAGTTACTTAATTTTTTCATCTTCTATTCCAATGCCATAGTGGATTTTATCTCTCTTGTGTGATTGTACTCAATTTTATTTTATTAATTATACATAGCTTAAATATGATTTTATTGCTTTTCCATTTTTTAATTTTTTTTGGGAATTTTTTTTTTTGCTGCTTCACATATCTTGCTTGATGGCGGAGAGAGAATATAAATAAATAAATTGTCTGAAGAATAATCTGTTAAGGGGGTAATTTCGTCTAAAAAATTCCTTCAAACAATCACTTGAACGGACATCATTTAAAACACCCCATTGGGATAGTTGAGGGAGTTTTTTTGCCAAAAATATAAATAAGGTTTTCACAACTAGCTAATAGTTAAGGGAAGTTTTTTACAATTCTCCCTTTTATATTTTAAAATTTTGAAGGATAACTCATCCTAATCACAATCATTCATCTCTAATCCCATTAAAATTATGGAAAATGATATTTATGCCGATGGATTTGGCAGACTTGTTAGGCAGAATCCTAGGTGATGTCTAGCTGGCAAAAAAGAAAGCGCGTGTGCATGCATTCGATTTATCTTCCTGTCTCTCCTCTCTGTCTGACCTCTTAGGCCAAACAACACTCCACCTCCATCTTTTGGGTCTTCTTTCCCCTCCTCTCTCTTTATCTCTCTCCAGCTTCATCGGCGCGTACTGTAGGTGCAAGCAACGGTGGCCGGAATTCCATATTTGAGCTTAGGGGTGTCAAGATCAATTGATGGTGTGGTGTCAGCAACGGAACTCCAATCGATCAATGGTGGTGTCCGCGCCGATGTTGTTGAACTTCTCTCTTCCATCATATACATCACATACATATTTGCACAAACACCCATTATGTACATCACACATATAATAACAACAGGATATGGGTATTAAAAAAAAGTCAAAAAATAATGAGCAATTTCTGCCTAAGTGAAGAAGACGGCTTAGGCAGAAAGCCGGCGAATATACTGCCGCCAATAATAGCGAAGTCAACGACGACGATGGAACGGGTTTGGAGGTCGCCTCCAAAGAACATTGGGTTACAATTCCAAATCGGACTTTGTGTGGATGGGTCAACGAATAGATATTTTCGGTGTAGTAGGATCACCGATGTGAATTGTCGTCGGCGTTGAAGAACGCAATGAGGAACTGAACAGCAGCGTCAAGCAAGGATGGATTTTCGCTGCGGGTTGACTGGTTGGTGTGGCTGTCTGGCGAGGATGAAGATGATTGAGGACAGAAGTTGGCTCCGGTGCTGACAGTGTCGACGATCTGAAGCGTGGCCCCACCTTTTTTTTTTTTGGGTAAAGTACACTAACACCCCCTGAGGTTTGGCATAAGGACAGATAAATGAAAGTTATTTTATTTTTGGACATTCACACCCCCTCAAGTTTGATAAAATGGACAAAGACACCCAACAATGGTAAATTGACTTTATTACCCTTTGATATAAAATTAACAAATGCAATTGACTTAAATATCCTTACCATCTTCTTCTCTTTCCTCTCTCTCAAACCCTAACTCAAACAACTACTATAATATATATATATATATATATATATATATATATATATATATTGTCTGTATAGACACACAACATATACATACTCATATATATATCACCACCACCACCACCAGAAATCACGCAGTCACATATATCAACATCATCCCTCAACATCATCATTATCAATTCATCACGATGACGAGCAAGGAAGACAAAATTGCCAAAAATTGGAGCCCGATATTGATCTAACCCACAATGGCGCTCAAAATTGGAGCCTGATCTTGACCTAACCCACGACGACGACGATGTGAGACGGCGACTTCAAGACATCGACGGCGATGTGAGACGGTGGCTTCAAAAAGGCGATGGATTCTTCCCCGCAGCAAAACCATGAAAAAATGGAGCCCGATCAAATTTGTACCCACGGATCGACCATAACAGAGCCCCGCAACGAGCGAAACATCAATTGCCAATGAAGATGGTGAGCCGTTCGTCGGCCGGTGGTTGGAAGGTGTGGAGGTGGTGTCATGGCCGAAGCTTTCGGGTCTGGGTTAGGGGTGGTGGTGATTGTTATATGTGTGTGTATATATATAGATATATTTAGTTGATATACCAACCCCAGTTTTAGTCGCGAAACTGTTAAGGTTCCTGTTTCTGTTTGCAAGTTTGATCTAGAAAACTTGTCTGTGGCTTGATTTCATATTTTGCTCTGGACATCATATTGCAGCCCTCAGTACTAGACCACCTTTTTCATAATCATCGGAACAACAAAGGATTTGGTTAAGACAACCAATTTGGGATAGTACTGGCCGATTAAGGCAACCAAATTTGGGCGAAACAACAATGTTTCGTTCTTTCATTTCACCACTTATATTTTTAACCTGAGGATCCTCTTTCCATTTCAAATGGATTTGCAACCGATTTCTATATTTGTTTAAAAGGGTAAAAGGACAACAAGATATATATATATATAGAGAGAGAAAGAGAGAGAGAGATGAAAAGGGTAATTTGGTCATTTAAATATTTTGATATTTTATAATTAAAATTAATAAATTAAGGAAGGGTAAAATGGACTTTTCACATATTTTAAGGCTTTGTTTGGATGAAAAATTTCACAAGGGGGTGTGGTTGTCCAAAAATGGGCTAACTTTCATTTGTTTGTCTTTACCCCAAACCTCAGGGGGTGTCTTTGTACTTTACCCTTTTTTAGGTTCATTGCCAGCTGGTTTGCCACATTAAATTCTGCCTAAGAAATAGGCCAAAGCAGGGCCAAAGCAGTCGGTCTAAGTATCACGATCCTAAAATTATAAATATATTTGAAAGTCTAAAGACTAATCCCATTAAAATATTGAATATATTAAACCTTAAACAATAAAAATTTGACCATATTTTGCACAGAAACAGAAAATTTCACATCATTCATGACTAATCACAATCATACATACATACATACATATATATATATATATATATATATAGATCTTGTCAAAAGAGAGCATTTATTCACTATTTTTTGTATATATATATATATATATAATTTTTTTAGTCCTGTCGAAAGAGGGAATATTCAACTGAGATAAAATAAAATAAAAATAAAAAAAACAGTAAAGATGTGAGAGACCAATCATACTGGAATGCATAATTGAAAAAAGAAATATAATCATTCACTTTTGGACTTAGGATTATAAATGTCACTTCATTTTAAATGTGAGTGCAAAAGTAAATTTAAATCTTGAACATATTTCCCTAAATTACACACCATTCATTTCTACTCAAAATCAAACAATACAGTGTGGAACTTGAAATTTTACCTTGGTCCCACCATCGAGGATGAGAGGATGATCGGAGAGGCTCAGATAAAGCTGTTTCTTAGATGTGAAAACTAGCGGAGAAGAATCGGAAGCTCAGGCAAAGATGTCCTGATAATCTGACGGCAGAAATCTCTCCTAAACTATGTCAGATTTCGCAACTAACAAGAAAATGAACGCCGTAAACTATAATTACTCGTGCAAACCATTAATCACAAATAAACATGAATCCCAAAACCTTAGAACTTCATTATTTTCACATAATCTATAATAGATAAATAAATAGTTAGATATAAATATCTCGATCTGTAATTGCAAATATCTTAAATATCATGGCAAACGTCGAGATCCTTTCTGCGTAATGAACAACATGCTAAATTGCAATAGTCAAAGCGTGAAAACCGATTTCTCTCTCTTGGCCTTTTGCACACATAAATATTATACGTGTTGT